TACATTTTTAGGTCACTACTTCTCCAAATAACTGAGGGCAGGGGGAGGCACAGTTGTTCTTCCCTCTTTATCATCACAACAAACCAGTGAGGTAAAGATAAGTGTGGTGGATAGCAACAGAGAGCACGGCTATCAGGAAGGAGGGGGTGCATTCCAGGAAGGGAAAGAGGACAAAAGACAACACTGTCCACAGCGGGAGGGTGGGAAGCATATGAGGGTCAGGGTAGCCGCTCCCTAGAATCTCCCAAGGTATATCCACCAGTTGCAATAGTATAGTCTGGCAAGATTCTGTCTATATGGTGTAAGCAAATAAAAGTCAACAGTCCAAAGTCAATTGGACCGTTTCACTGTTGTTCTTGGGCTGGGCCTGACAATGATTGCTGTGAGGTAAAAAATAAGAGATAGCTTCGTAAACTATTCCATACATAACAGAGCTGCAGGATAAAAGAAAGTATGGGATAGTAATCCAAATTCCAGTCACTTACATGAGGTGATGAGAGAGAAATTAGAAGGGTAGCTAAAGCAGAACATGAATAGGAAAAGTAAAGGATATACTGGGCATTTGTGTGCATAAAATAACAGAACAATATAGACATTAAAAGAGAAGGAGAGGTAGGTCCACAAAGAGTCACAGTGACACAAAAGAGGTATCGTTTACTGAGACACAAATAAGTCACTAGAATGAATTGAAAAAAGAAGGTCAACTTCCCTGTTTTATTTTGTTACAGCAATGAGTATTATCCTGCAGATTCACAAATAGCTCCAGTGCAAGATCTTAGAAAGAAAAGCAGTTGTAGTGACGATATAAAAGAAGGTCTTCCAGAGAAAATGGGTCTTCATGACACAACAGAGGATGAGACCTATGACTTCGAAGGAGAGAAGCAAACTTCTGAAGACCAAGTCACTGAGGAGATGCCAAAAAGGAAAACCAGAAGAGCTGCGACCAAGTATGTTTGTCTTAACTGAAATAATATGGGTTTCTTACAGATTTTGAATCTGCATTTAAATGTAATTTTAGCCTGTAGTTCTTATTCTTCAACTCTAACATGCCTTGCATATTTTCTTAACTGTCTGTTTCTCCTTGTCCAGTCATCAGAATATGTAATAGGAGAACATTTTAGTCACACATTGACTAGGTTCACAAATCAGGTTCAGTAATGTGGTTGGTTTGTTCATCAAGCCCATGGTTTAATGTGACATGGGATTCCAGTCATGGATCAGAAACAAAGGGCTCTTCCAATGGAGGAAAAGATGGAACATTATGATTAGTTCTAGTTTTTCCTGCAGCACAAAAAATGTGCACTATTATAAGAATGATTGTAGAAGCCCACTGTGTTCAGAAGTTCAGCCACAAATATCTACATCACAGAATGGCTTTATATTTAGGAGTTTGGTTTATTTCACAGATGGCCAACTCCAATATTTTTAAAGATCCATTACCTTCCACAGAATATTCTCTGAAGGATAGGAATTTGCACATGAAATAACCACTTCACGAGTCTCCACTGAAAAATTACCATTATCTAGCTATAAGTTTATATAATCCACGTAACAGTTATGTCACACAGTAGTTACTTTCACACATGCCTATAAACCACTGTTTAGCATTATGAGAATGACATGCTTCCAACTTCTTCACTTAGAACTACCAGATGTGAGTTGCAAAAATCTGGAGAACCACTCAGTGGCACAAAAGAGAACGTTTTGTATCATCTTGCTGCCTTCTAATGGTTATTCAGAACCATGAACTAAGTCACGCCTGGTTTTGGCAGAACTGAAATGGAGAGTTGAATAGTTCTGTGACAGTTTGGAAGACTTTGTTGTTAAAAAAGCCATTATCCAGATTATAGGAGGCTGGAGTATTAAAGACAGAATTAAGATAACAACAGGAACATTTGGTTTCAGTGTACAAAATGAAGCAGGAGTCAGATTACTGTAATAGAATTCTGCCAAGAAAATTCAATATTTATAGCAAATACCTTATTTCAGTATGCAAAAAGAACTCTACACATGGACATCACCAGATGGAGAACACTGAAATCAAACTATTTAGTTTGAAGCTCTGTACAGTCAGCAAAAACAAGGTTCGTGCTGATAGCAACTCGGATCGCTAATTCCTTTTTGCAAAATTGCGACTTAAACTAAAGAAAAGATAGACCATCAAAATAGAACATCAGTAGTATTCTCTATGATTATGCTATAAAGAATAGATTTAATGGATTAGATTTGATAGGGTGCCTGAAGAACTCTGGATTGAAATTTGTGACATCATTAAAGGTGAAGCAGACAAAAATATTCTGAAATGTAAAAAGCAAAAGAAAGTGAAATGGCTGTCTGCCTATATGGTGAAAATAACAAAAGAAACAGAGACAGCAAAATTTATCCAACTAAATGTTGAATTCCAGAGAAGAGCAAGATGAGACAAGGAGTTTTATCTAAATAAGCAATGCAAAGAAATTGCAGATAATCAAATGGAGAGGACAAGAGATTTTATTTAAGAAAATCACAAAAATCAAGTGAAGTTTTCGTGCAAAGATGGGCATGTTAAAAGACAAGAATCTATTGGAGAAAGAAGATATAAAGATGGTACAAATACATGGAAGGACAAAAGATTCCAAAATCAATGATAGTGGATATGAAAGTTTGATCACTGAATTACTGCCAGAAATTTTGGAAAGTGAAATAAAACAGGCCCTAGAAAGTACTGTTAACATTCTGAGGGAGT